AAAGGACTTATAATTAAGTCAAATTTACAAATTGATAACAGTAATATTAAAAGCATAATAATATATCAAAATATTTTTTTATAAATTATTTTACATTTAAAATTATTGTTTGAAAAATTTATTAATTGAATGTATAAATCATTTTATAATATTTTATAAACAAATATATCACACATAATATTTGATAAATAAAGTTATTTATACATTTTGAAAAACAAAAATCATTTAAATAATCACAAAATTAATATTTAAAAAAATAAAAAAAACTTCCATGTTAAAAAATAATTAATTAATTAAAGTGATAATAAAAATAAATTAAGTTAAAAATTAAGATATAAATTTTTTATAAAAACTGAATACAAAAATGTTAGTTTAATTGTTTTTAATATACATTTTATTTTTTATTTAATATCATTAATACTATATCTTAATTTAATTTTTATTTTGTTTACTACTCCACTTTGTAGTTGCCTTATAAACAGTGCCTCTTTTTTATAAAAAAACATATATCTTAAAACCAAAAAAGTTATTGTAAAAAATTTATTAAAGAAAATAAAAAAATTCATGAAACTTAAATATTATTTATAAGTAAAATATAGATTTGCATACACAACCACATACACATATACATTTTTATAAAATAATGTAATAATAATTATTAATGAAATGCAGGTAAAATGTGCTACTAAAGTAAAAAAAGGCTTTAATAAATTTTAAATAAAAAATTGAAAGTAGTTTTATAAAAGGTTTTTAACAAAAAATTGAAGATCTTATAGAGGATTTTACTTGTTAATATTTTAATAACTATAATACATGAATGTATATGCATATAATAGGTGAAGTAGTTCTATATAATATATAAATACAAAACAAAATTATTAATTAATACAGTGTTGTTTCGAAAACGTATAAAAAGGAAATAATTTAATATTGTTATACATAATTCTTGTCAAAAACTGAATTATTTAATTTATTTTTAATATTTATTTAATATTTTAATATTTATTAATATTATTTATTAATATTTATTAATTATTTATTAATTATTTATTTAAAAACATAATTTTTAAAGTCCGTTTTGTTTTTTTTTTTAAATTTTAGCATTATTTCGACCGTTACTCTTAGTAAATTTCTATACGTATTTCGGCAAATTCCCTTTTTTGCCTTCATCAAGAGAATTCCTAATATTTTAGAATTTAAAGAGATCTACTGACATTATCCTTGTTAAGAAACATGAGCCACACTTGGTCATTTATGTAGACAAGTTATTTTTAGATATAAACCCAAACAGTCCTAAAACTGTTAAGCGGGTTTAGCTATCCTTGCATTATTTACTATAAAACTTTAGTTATGACGGAAGGATTATAACACATATATCTCAAATAAAATATGATTGTAAGAAGTATTTTTTAATTTTAAAATTAATTTAACCATTTACAAAATTTCACGGTATTGAGTAATTATTCTTAAAAAATGTACTTATTTTCTTCTTAAAGACAAGAGCAAAGAAACAACAAGTCTCAAGTCAATTATTATATTTTGTGTTTATTTTTTATACAATTATTTATTTTTGCCACTAGTCCCTTAAATTGAACTGTATAGTAATTTTATTATATTACATATCATACTCATGGTGTATAGAAAATATGATCATATATAGTTCACTTTTATTATATCAAATGGCTTCGTACGCCTCAACCCCTTTAACAATTTTCTGAGTTTCACAAGTTCTAAAACTTCTTCATTGTTATGGGTTGCAAGTCGTTCCGTACGTTCTTTACAGGTTCCTTATATTTCTTTTTCGATTGATGAAGTTTTGATGTCTCTGTGTATATTAGTGCTTTTTTAAAGCACCAAAAAACTTTAATCATATCTCTTACAGTACTATATTATATTGTATTGCATTTTTGTTAGCCTTAAAAATAAATAATAAAAGAATATTTTTCGTATAAAATTCATACAAAAATGTGCTAATGAGGTTTTATAATACAATAGTTAGTTTAACATAGTAAAGACTTCATATGCGTATTTTATACGTGTACTCGTTTCCACAAGAGACTAAAATTGTCATTTTAAGCGATTTTAAAGGTTTTTTTTCACTGTCGCTAAAAAAATAAAGATGTTGAAAACTCAACGTCGTTTAACCTCGTTAAAAGTTAAATATTCATTAAAATAATTAATTTACAATATTATGTTCAATTATGTGTTTTTTTTATAGTTTCGACAATATATTTTTGTTTTGGCATATAAAATGTTAAATTTTAGTTAAACTCATTTAAACAAAACTAGGCAGACAATGATATGATACATTTTATCATTGCTCATATTACTTGAAAAAAATATAATTTAGCAAAAATTTTATAATTAAAATATAATAAATAATAAATTAATAATTTTGTTTGTACATCTTTTCTTAAAAATGTGAATGCTACAAAATACTTAGGTATTATTTCGAAGCTAGTACTTAAAATACAATATATAAAATAGTTCATTAAATCAATAAATACCTGAAATTAATATTAATAATCAAATTTTAAATGTAGAATAGCTGGATTGTCGGAATTAAAATTTTTTTACGGCACATAATATGTACAAAATTATATATATACGTTCATAATTAAAAAAAACGATATTATAAAGTAAAAAAATTTATTGCATCACTCCTTGTAATTGGATTACACCCACTTATTTCTTAAGACTATTTATTGAATGTTAAATGTTGTCACTCAGATAAAATCTTATATTAGAATCAGTTAATGTTTAAGCAAACCGTAGGTTAAAATATACAATCGCTAAGATATACTTAAGTGCATATATGCAACAGTTACCGGTGGCGGGGACCACACATTGACAGATATTAAGATATGGACATTTTGTAAGTAGCTAAAATGTATCTAAATATTTAGTTAAAATAAATGTATTCGAATATAAGCTTAAATGTAAGTAAATATTTTAAATTAAATATACAATATCTCTAATATATTGTTCTCCCATAAAGTCTATAAAATTACAAATTTACACTAGACTACACTTAAAAAAAAATTATTAATAAAATATATATGTGTATGAAAAATTAAAAATACTTAAGTGAATTTAAATATAAGAAAATTAATTTTAAAATAAATAAAAATATTTGCACTATGGAGAAAGTTCAAAGAAATGTGAAATTTTACCTACAAAAATAAGATAAAGATAAATAATTTGAACGTTGTTAATAACCCATTAGGATAAATAGTTAAATGTATATATAAATATATTTATATGTTTATATGTTAAAATTATATATTGTATATGGTATTTAAAAAGCTAAAAATTAAAAGACTTGTTATTTTTAAAACTAGCGCCAAAACATAAATCTTGGTCTTTAGAAAATAAAAGAAAAATTTATAGAATTATAATTTTATGCAAAAAAATTTTATTGTGGATAAATTAAAAAAATTGAAAAAAAAACAGACAAAAATTTGAAATTAACATTTAAAAAATGTAATTGTAAAAAAAATTGTTTATTTTATGTGTGAAATATGCATAAAAGATTGTTACTTAAATGTACCTATTCTAGAAAAAATTTTAAAGATGTTTTAAATGTGAAGAATATATTTATATATATACATATATGAAATAAGGAATTCAAATTCAAATTAAAAAAAATAATAAAATATAAATTTAATAAAACAAAAATCAAGCTATATGAATTTTAGAAAAAATACTAAAAAATTAAAAATTTTGTGAAAAATAAAAACAAAAATTTTATGTAATTATATTAGTTAAAAAAGTGCACGGAAATAAATATATGTGAAGTTCTTTTTAAAAGTATATACATAACTTACAGAAGTAATATATTGAATATATTATATTTATATATGTCTACATGTAAAATTTTATTTAAAAAACACAGAAAATTTCTTTTAAATATATAAAAGAAAATTTTAATTAAAAATAAGAAAATGATCACAGCAATTTAAAATTTTCAACAGTACACTGTTAAAAATATTGGTAAATCTCTATTTGTTTTAAACAAAAAGAAATATATAATAAATAATTTGGTGTTAAGTTTTTAAAATACCAGAAAGGTAATAAACTTATTTTATTTTAAAATTTTAAATAATTTTTTTTATTTTTTATGATTAAGATTTATTATATTAGATATTATTTAAGCATCCACTGTTTTTGGTCACTAGATGCTGTTGGTACCCATATAACTGGTAACACCAATTCGATTATGTATAACGAAAATGTGTGTGAAAGGCGACATTTTAAGCCACGTTTTTCCAAAAGGCAATTTCGTAATATCGGTTAAACTTACTGCTACTAAACCTAGAAAATTCTGTACTCAATACCTCGTTACAGTAAAAATAATCTACAGAACCGGTAAATGGTAAATTTATTGATAATTTAATTAAATGCACGGTAAATGGATTAATTTCATCGCAGACTTAGCTACTCATTGCTTCCTCCACTTCCAAGAATTGTAAACGAACTTATATGCTACTGTGAAACGAATAGCTGAAGTCTTCTTATCATTAGGGTAGTAGTAAATGGAATACTCGAAAAAACTAACGCTTCGATTTTATTTTCTCTGTAAGGGTGTATATAGAAAATGCAAGTATTTTCTCAACATTTGTTACAGCCAGGCATCACGACGTTGTAGATTTCACTCTTAGTAATAGTAGGTATCACAGCCCCTGCAACTCGGTCAATTTCAAAGTAAACTCAATAGATGTTTCCAAAGTGTACTTGCAATGTGTGTTTGTTGGAATCCAATACAGCTGCATGGAAAATTTTCTGACTATTACCCCCATTATTAATTATATATTTTAAAATAAATGGAATTATCAACCAGAGAGTCGCTGAATAAGTACCTTAAATCACTTCCACATTTCTTGAGAGTGCACTATTAATCAATAAAATAATTATTTAAACATAAAAATATAAATTTATTTACACAAAACATGCATATAATGTATAAAATTTAAATTTTGCACATAATTTTTTTAATCGAATATTTGAATTTACTACAAAATTTATAAAAATACTCGTATTAATTTTAAAACTAATAAATGCAATATGAAAAAATCGTTTGGCACCAAAATTTACATGCCATTGTATGCCGGACCACCGCCACCTTCTGGCACGACCCAGTTTATATTCTGTTTTGGATCTTTAATATCACAAGTTTTACAATGAATGCAATTTTGAGCATTGATTTGTAGCTTCATATTGCCACCCTCTTCGTTGGGTACATATTCGTAAACGCCAGCAGGACAGAAACGCTGCTCTGGTCCTTCGTATAAAGCTAAATTATGATCGACAGGTATATGATCGTCTTTTAATGTTAGATGCGCTGGCTGGTCGCCTTCATGATTAGTGCCCGTTAAAGCCACAGAAGACAGCAAATCAAAAGAGATTTTACCATCTGGCTTAGGATATACAATTTGTTTACATTCGGAAGCTGGTTTTAGAGTTTCATGATCAGGTGGACCGTGTTTTAAAGTCCATGGTTCTGTACCACCCAGTAATATAGATACGCCACTGAATGCCACACCACCATAAAGACCTAAAGGATTATGGAACGATGGACGCACGTTACGCACTTTATGCAAATCATACCAAACAAAGGAATTGATAATTCTGTAAAAAGAAAAATATGTTTATTAAATTGGATTTACATATCTAGCTAAATAAAAATACGTACTTATAGGGATAGGAAGTTGGTTCAATACCAGCAGTCTCTTGTTTTTCATTTAATATGGCATCGACGGCACTTTCAGCAGCAAGCATACCTTTAAATTACAAGTATAGTAATTTAAAGAAAGAATTATAATTATTATATGAAAGAATTATATATTAAATAATATTCTTACCGCTTTTCATAGCATAGTGAGATCCTTTAATACGTGGTACGTTTAAAAATCCAGCACTACATCCCACCAAGCAGCCGCCAGGGAAAGTTAGTTTACTTGGTAAACTTTGCAGTCCACCTTCGTTTATAGCACGTGCACCATAAGCAATACGATTACCACCTTCAAATACATCACGTATTTTAGGATGAGTTTTAAAACGTTGAAATTCTTGGAACGGACTAATCCAAGGATTTTTATAATCCAGACCAACAACAAAGCCAACAGCAATTGTAGGCGTTGGTTCATTTAAATGGTATAAAAAGGAACCACCATAGGTAAACTTATCGAGCGGCCAACCAATTGAGTGTTCAACTAAACCGGGGCTAAAACGAATTGTTATGTAGCAAAGTTCATGGACAACATAAATTATAAAATGGACTATTTACAAATGATTGCTTGATATACGATTACTATTAACCAAAAATATAATGATAGAATAACTCAAAACAATATTTGCAGGATATACTGGGATTGATGATACTGGATTAATGTTTAAGCAAGCTATATTTGATATTTACATCTGTTAGTTCGTTTTATATTTTCCAACCTCTTTATTATGCCCATCAAAATTATGAAATAAAATAAAATGATTGGTGAATGAAATGGACATTGGACAAAAATTTTATTTCGGTTATATATATAACCACTTACACATGCTTCTCAGGTGCAATTTCCCAAATTTCTTTTAAACCAATACCGTACGTTTGCGGCTGACTGCCTTCCATTAAATTAAATTTACGCATTACTTGTTTGCTTAAATGACCACGACATCCTTCAGCGAATATTGTAGTCTTTGCATGCAATTCCATGCCACGTGCAAATGTGTCTTTTGGAGAGCCATCCTTAGCAATGCCAACATCATTTGTAGCAATGCCTTTAACGCTGCCATCCTCATGATAAAGCACTTCTGAAGCCGCACAGCCGGGATAAATTTCTACTCCTAAAGCTTCTGCTTGTTCCCCTAACCATTTAACTAAGTGTCCAAGACGTACTATATAATTTCCGTGATTGTCCATTGGCCAACCCTTAAAAATGGGTAGCGAAATTTTGCCAGACTTTGTCAGATATGAGAAAGTGTCTTTCTCAACTGGCGTATTTAATGGTGCACCAAGTTCTTCCCAGTTTGGTATGAGTTCGTTTAGCGATATGGGATCAATAACAGCACCAGACAGTATATGACCACCAACTTCAGCAGCTTTTTCAACCACACAAACTCGTAGCTCCTAAATTAATTATAAAGGTAATTAATAAATAATTATATTTTATTTATATTAAAAAAGAATTAAGGTTTTTACTTTATTTTGCTCTGCTGCTAGTTGTTTTGCACGTATCGCAGCTGACATGCCTGCTGGTCCGCCACCTACAATAACAATGTCCACTTCGTCTACGAAGCGTTCCATCTCGATTTCTACAATAGAAGTACGGAAATTTTATTTAAATATAAATCTGTTTGATAATTGGTATTTGCTTACCCTTCCATCTTTCATCTTTTTCTCTTGGATGTATTGTGTAGTGAGTTGTTATTTTTGGATATTTGGCTACATCCGCCACTGTGCGTATACTGCCATTTAAAAAGGGTTTGGTTGCTGTAAAAAATTACATAAATTTTATTTTATAAATTTTATTTTATTTAAAACAAAATAATCAATTTTTTTTATAGTTGTTGTTGTTGCTCATTGTAAGATACTACCAGTTTCGGGAACTAACAAACTCAGTTATTTACGACATACTATGGAATGAGAATATGAAAGGAAACATGGACTATGATTTTTATAGGATGCTATCAGTTGTTTACTAGGTATATGGTAATGAGAATATATGAGCAAACTTGATAAGCTCTACATATACCGTCCATGGAGCTGCAGCATTACCCCAGGTCTATCGTTTTAAGATACCACCATCTACCGGTGTTTTGGTTATTTAGAGAATTCCTGTGTTAATCAAAATATCGATTTTAACGGATATAGTCTTTGAAACCAAAATATCGATTTTAACCGATATCATTTTTAGAACCAATAGGTATATATCTTTTTTAGTTAACGGCTCAGTTTCGGTTTAAAGTCTTGCTACATTCCAAACCCAACCTTTGTATTTAGTTTGCAGATTTAAACTTAGTTTTTGATATCAATTATCCATCTAAACAAAGTTCAAAAAGCATGACGCAGTGCTCAGCTCCGCTGATTCCTTCTGTTTATATAGTATCAAACCTTATCTATCATTATGTAAACGTCTGCAAATTCAAGTACTCATCATCAAAAATATTCTAACTTCTTAATTAGTTTATAGTCTGTATATAATTTGTTATAAATATTTTTTTAATCGAAAATAGTCATAACTTTTTCAAACTTTTTTAAAAGTCTTTCAAATAGATCTCGTAATGGATAGTTATATTATGTTTTGCTTAAGTTAAGTCCAGGTTAAAGATCTGAAACTTATTCTGCAAATTTGGGACTTCATAAGAAAGTTTGGTCGTCAGTTGTGTGGATTAATTTGATGACATAAATGTGTTTTATTTTTTAGTACTACATGTTAAATATTTTAATATGTCGTTATCGAATAATAAGAAAAAAATTATTTTCCATACAAATCTTATTTAATAAAAATTTAACAACTTTTTTGAGATAAGAAAATTAAAAGTAATTCAAAATGTGATCTTCGGAATTAATAAATAAAAAAGAAACCGCATAGGACTGACTTGCCAAAATCTTATTATCTAATAAATAATTCGTTCTATTTTATTTATAGATATAAGAGAAAAAATATAGTCTACGGTAGTAGACTATCTGTTTTATTATGAATTCATTGAGGAAATCTTCATGGGTGCGAAAACTTAAGTCCTTAAAGCAACTAATGATAGTGATATTGTTTTAAAAAATAAATCCAATCTTCTTTGGAGTAATTTATTGCTTTCATTATCGGTTAAATAATTTAAAAAAAAAAGAATTTTTATTACTTTTCTCTGTAGTTTCTTGCCGCAGCAGACGATGTGGTTTATGCCACGTAGCATTTGCCTTGAATCTTCTATCTCTTTGAGAAATAATTTGGTTCTATTCTTCACTTAAAAATTTAATTCTTTTAGTTAAATAAAAATTTAATTAAATTAATAGAAAATTTAAACAAACAGCATAAACAACATTTTTGTCTTCTTTTATCGTTATGTAATAAAACAATTAAATTGTGTGAGCAAAATATTCAATTAATCTATAATTAAATTAAACACTCACCCCTCGTAAGTTTAAGCAATGTAGACATTTTTCAACTTTTGTAAAGATGCATAAATTGTGTATTTATTTTATTTTATTAAATATATTCTTAACGTACTTTTTTGTTAGTTTAACTTATAACAATGCAAAGAATATACTAAAAACAAAAATAAAAATGATTGGACTATTGACCCCGGCAGTTCGCTTTCATGTACTAAATATTAAAATTTAGTTTTCTATAATTGCACTTAGTTATAAAGACTAGTTTCTATTAAGATGTATTTACTTTATTTCTTTTGCAATTACAAAATTTTATTACTTAATAAGAAAAACTATTTTATCTGCTCGACAGACTCTAACGAACGTACAAACAACGCAACGTTTTTGTTCGCTGCAAGCATCAGCTGTTTGGTTTATATGTTTTTGTTATCGATTACATACTTGTTGATACAGAAACTATTGTGAATGATCAGCTAGAGTAGTGATTCTCCAAATGTTATTGCAGGAGTTCTGAAACTGTTGATGCTGTAAATATATTAATAGATCTGTTCCACGAGCTAAACGTAGTAAAACTCAAGTAAAACACAAGAAAAGTACAAACTGAAAGCGTAACAGAAATAAAGTGCCAAATTATGCTTTTTACACAGATTTTCATGGAATAGCTTTGTGTAAAGTCTAATGAAAATATCAGTGCCGCGAAAAAAAACAATACAAAAATTGAAATTGAAACCAAAACAGCTGACTCACACATCAACACAAATTTTACTTGAAATAAAAGTAAAGTCTGTATAGCATTTTCAAATTTCGACAGAGATGTTACGTTCTCTCAGATGTTCTCATTTAATCGAAAATTTGCTGGAGAAACGCACTTGTGTATACCCATGTGTAGTAGCGCTCGAATTGTTGCTACAGAGATATTAGGGCTATTCAAGATCTTTGTGCATCGTTGCATGTGCAAAATTACTTGATTTTATAAAAACAATTTCCTTTCTTATGATTCTATAATTGATTTAAAAGGCAATATGCAACATAATATTTTCAACACCAATTAGCTCTTACATATGTAATTGTCAAAACTCTATTGTGAATGATATTAGTTTTTTTACTGCTCGCTGGGCAATAATTTAGCGAAACTGTTAAGTTTTGTTGACAATTGTTTGATTTTGTATCTTTTTTATGTTCAAGAAAGTGCTATATTATACATATGAATGTACAAATTTAAATTACGCATTAATTCTGCAAATTCACTTTTTTTGTGCTGAAAATTATTTAATCTATTTTGAATTATTGTTAATTTCAAATTTAGCAATTTTCAAAATTTAAAATATAATTCACAATAATCCAAAAAAAACAGATAGCACTACATTTCAAACTGTGTATGCAAATTTTGATATTATTTCGCTAAATATAATTCACAATAATTTCAAAAAACATATAGCAATGCACTCCAAACTGCATGTATTGACAATATTTCGCTGCGCAGCAAATGCGACTGCATATGCGATGCAACGCTTTAGATTTGCTGCAAGCAGAACATCTGCAAGTAATTTGGTATTGAAGCCGCCTTCAAGCTGTTAGTTATGAACAAGATAAAGATGGTTTAACATTTATTTTTTTATTGAAAAATTTATTATTTCGTATTGCTTCTATCAATATTTATTATTAAATAAAGTTAGAAATAGTTGAATTGATTTTTGATTCATTTTTATGTATGCAATTGTTGAATGCTTTTAATATTTCAATTTGCAAATTGCAAAATTCTGCTGGTGTTAGTTCGGCTTCTTCCGTTTGCTTTGCTAAACTCTCAAAAAATAACTGCGCAGCACTTTTGGGCACAGAAGGTTCGGCTATTATTTTTGCACGATCAACTAGTGAAGTCATATTCTGTTGTAACTCCTGTACCGTCTTACTGATATTTAAACTACTGCAAGGCGAATTGCTGTAAATATGAAAAAGCCATTTATGTATTGAGCTATTTCCTTATTTATATATGTACTTACTCCACAGGCGTGTATATGTTTTCTAAAAAACGCAGATGCTCCATCCACTTCCACTTGCTTTTCACTGCTTCGTCAGCACTCCCTGATGGTATCAACTCCGCTTTAAATTCCTGAAAAAATTTATCCTTTAATGTTCTCCATCTAGCTTTTAGCTGTTGTGCTGTATGAAAATATTTACAACAAAAAAATAGTATCCTTCAAAATATGTAAATTGTGCGTGCATTACCTGGAACATTTAATTTTTTTCCAAGTTCATTAAATTTCTTGTTTCGCATACATTTATTTTTGTACATTTCATGTTTTCTTTCATATAAAAATGGATTTAATTTAACCATTCCAATAATTTCTTCCTCCACTGCTACTCTTTTCGAATTCTTCATCTCTGAAATGCAAACGATTGACATTTGTGTTGTGTTAGATGACATATTCAATTCACAATAACATAAATAATGTACTACAGTACATTTCAAACTATATATTTGTTTTTGGCACTATGCTTCGCTGCTGTGCGGCAAAATAAAAATAATTTGATGAGATGGAGAGTTTCTGCTGCATGCAGATTTTTTGGTAGTTTCGTCGGTTTAATTTTAATAGTTTGTTCAATTGCATTCGAAAGAACTTTATAAGTTTGTCGACATGTTCTCGAAAGAATTTTAAAAATTCTAAATTTTGGTTTGAAATAGTGGAAGTACTAAAGATTGTTAAATTAAATAAAATTTGATTGGTAAATTGAACTAGAAACTACTTTAGCAGTCAGAAAATTGTGGTTGGTAACACCATAAATGTGTAACAAAAAACTGTACACAGTGTCCCTTGTGCTAGTGTCCCTTGTGTCGGTTTTGGTAACATATTAGGCTACGAGAGGTTACTTAGCGCTGGACACTGGAGTGTGGAAGGTAAGAGAGTTTGAAATTGTAGATTATAGGCCTATTAGAAGTTGCCTTAGTAGTAACATAGCTCAGAGCCATTTACTTTTGCAATGTTATAAATTATATTAGAGATTATTTGTCAACCCATCAGTTACAGTGAAAGAAAAATTGATTAGGGCAGAAATTCTGTCAAGTTAAATCTTTTATTTAGACTAAAAAAGTAAACCAGAATAGAAGAAGTATGAGAATTAACAAAATGCATTGGCAAATGAATAGATTTGCTATATTGTTTATTTTTTTTTAATTTTATACAACAAATTTAATACAAATGAATAAGAATAAGTCTTCTCCGTTGAAAGATAAACTAACGTAGTACCATTCATCTCAGCGAGATGGCTCGACAAATACTGGAAATTTCGGATTTACTAGAGATTATGGTATGGTATGGTACCCATATATCTGGCAATACTTATGCTATTATATAAAACAAACACAAGTTTGAAAGGTTTCATTTCGGGTCACATTTTTCAAGCAGGCATAGTTGTCCATGAATGAAACGATGCTTACATTGTTATTTCATTTATCATAACTCTTTAAAAATATATTCATTTATATATATATCTATATATAAATTCATTCTTGTCTTGTATGAATACGTAGTGTACAACGTACAACTCAGCTCATATGTCTATTTTTTCCACACTTTTGTGTTTTTTGAAAGAAACCCAAAGAGGTCTAATAAGGCTGATCTCCGTCGAAGTTCACATTTGTTATAACGCAACCGATGTATTTTTCTTATTATTATTTTTTTATTAGTCATTTCATTTATTTTACAATGTGTATTAATCTGGTAACTATTTAATTTAAAAATATTTTAGATGTTATCTTAGTACTCATTTATATTTGAATCATATTATTATAATATTAATAAAACTATTGTCGAGAAATCGACAATCGCCCAACAGTCAGCACTGCGGCCAGAAGACTGAATTCCACTTTTAATTACACAAAGCCCTTTAAAGCTTTGTGAATATAATTCAGAACTAAATCTGGAGAAGAGCTCTTAATCTGTTTTGGTAACAGAAATTCCATATGGAATATTTAAATCATATTTTCTTATTGTTATTAATTAACAATAATGAAGAGTCTTGGAGTTGAAGTACTCGTACTATGCTTTATGTAAAATTTCTTTATAAAGTATAAAGATAAATTAATTCCGAACTATTTGGTCGCATATTTTAATAAAAAATCTTACTTTACTATATGAATTTAGACAGGTGAAGGGATGAGTAAGTAGATATGAGAGCAAATGACAGTCTTAAATGTTCAACTCAGATATTATTTTGCTATGAAAAATAACCCTTAAGGCAGTGGTCCCCAGGCTGTGTCAATACTCTACTATTCATATTCTTATAGCCAATATATTTTTAAGGAAATAAGGGAAAAATATTTATTTTACCGTAATTTATTTTATATTCATCTGGTTTTTTTTATGTACCCCTTCTCCGGGAAGCACTTTTCTAATCATATAGGAAGTATTAAACCGTCATTTCGTAATTTCGTAGTTATAATTATTAGGTTTAAACAAAAATAATTTTTTATTAATAATTATTATCGTAAATAAAAAAAAGTCTACACAAAAACAATTTAAACTTTTTCAAAGTATTTATTAAAATTATGTTAATTGGTTTTGCTATATAAGTTAATATATGTTTTTTGTATATGCATTTGTATATATATATTTTGTTTATATAATAATTTTGATTTAAGTATATTTATATTGTAATGCGATTTTAAATTGGTTTTAATACATATTTATCATATATAATATATTGTATGTAAGTGCTCAATATAAGATTCATTTAAAAGTGAACTTTTAATCCAGCCCTTGTAAAAATTCACCTTTAACATGTAAATAAAAACTAAATAGAAGACATAACATCTGTAACTCTAATATACATATATATAAACATTCATCCTAGCAATACTTGATTGCACCATAATTTTCTTAAAATAATAATTATTTTTGCATTTTATATATAATTTATTTATTAACAATATAATCTGAATCCAAATCCATATCCTCGATTTCATCCGAATTCTTTTGTTGCTGTTGTTCTTGTTGCTTTTGCTTATTAAAGAGCACGCTTATGGCTTTATCCATGGGATTGGTTTCATCGATTGCACTTTTATCAGCTTGATGTAAGATCTTGGCGGCCTCTTTAATTTCATTCTTCTGTAGCATTACTTTTGTATTATTGGAATTATCTGGTGTGTTAACACTCTTGCCAAATCTCATGAAATTCTGATCCATCTTACCGAAACGCATAAAGTTTGCAGAGTTGTCAGCTGGTTCGGGTGGAGTTCTACCAAAACGCATAAAGTTATCAGGTCGACCGTAACGCATGAAATTCTTATCGATATAAGATTTTTGATTTCGTCCAAAACGTATAAAATTCTGTTTGGGATTACGACCGAATCTCATAAAATCAGCAGGATTTCGACCTAAGCGCATAAAATTGTCGGCACCACTACGCCCGAAGCGCATGAAATCAGCAGGGTTTCGACCAAAACGTATAAAATCAGTAGTTGGCACGCGACCAAAACGCATGAAATTATCACCACGAGAATCGCGTTGAGTGCTGCGTTCAGCACGCTCATTACCTTCTTTATAGTTTTTAGATTCGTGACTGTTCGCCGTTGGATATTCCTCAATTTGACGTTTACCGAAACGCATAAAGTCAGCGGGATTACGGCCAAAACGCATGAAATCAGCGTTAGGCGTGCGACCGAAACGCATAAAATTATTTTCCAGAGCTCTACGTTTCTCAGCCTCCTCGGATAAAAGTTTCATGCGTAATTTAGGACGATCCTTGCGGAATTTCAATATAATGGAATTCTTCGCATAATCGATATTTACAGCAGATATGGGTTGAAGAAATGCTACTTCAGTTTGATCCCGAGCAGATTTTATTATTGGTACATTACTCTCCTCAACACTCTCCGATGAGTCCAACGGATCAAATGGTATTTCTGGTGTTAGTAGCGAGTTGTAATCATCCGATTCGTCCAGCACATTAGATTTCGGGTTATCAATAATCTCGCTGAAACTGAACGATTGTAGCTGATAAATCGATAATAGAAAAATCAATAAATGTAACATTTTTACGAAGTTACACTGAAAAGAGAATAAGTAGTCGATATTTAAAATACACTGAAATTGAAAATCAAGTTCTTATTAATTAAGCTATGCAAATGAAGTAATAATTTTATAGTTTTCAGCAATTAAGCTATAAATATGTAATAAGTAGTCGAAGAAACATTTTATAATTGATCTCAATTACAGACAATTACTTTTTGGATTGAAAATGAAACTATAATTTTGAATAACTTCGCGCCAAACTACAGCTTTTAATTTACAGGTGATTGTTAAAACCAATAAAAATTATGAAAAAACATGAAAAAGTTAATCAAACCAACAACTATAACGACTCCAGCCACTTCAGCAACTTCAACGAAATCAAGAAAACCCATAAACGTGCTCACCACAATAATCGCAAAACGGCAAGCAGTGGCGGCACAATTTCAAGTTCCACCAACGTTAATTTGAGATGAAGTTGTGGCTAAGATGAAACACGAGGAGCCGTTATGCACCGCGCGTGTGTTCGCTAATTAACCGATAAATTATTAAACCCATCATTTTCTCGGTTAAGAAAAGCGGCGTATGTGCGAAGTTAACGAAGTGCATAAATGCATTTTATTTTGCATGTGCCACTATGTAGAAACTCATACGAGGGAGCATTGATAAGTTGAGAAAAATAATGAAATAAATTTTCAAAAAATAGTTTTCTAAATATATATACAGTATGTATATGGGGTAGATTAAAAATAGTTTACGGGTGACTAGAGTTAATTTTATTCTAAATAACATATTTGATAATCAAAATTTATGTTACAAGTACCAATGATGTAACTGTTTAAGATTTACTTTAAAATTTTTATTATATTTCTATTCAATTTGCATTCTATTTCTATTTTCATTCCATTTTCTTTTCATTTTTATTTTAATACTATTTTATTTCTACATAGAATTGGCCACATAAGGCCCAATTCTATTTTATTTTCTATTACATTTCTATTTTATTTTTATTTTATTTCTAATGTATTTCTAATATCATGTTTCCACTACAGCTAAAACTACTTAACTATTAACTACTTATCTTAATGAAATTATTCAAATTATTCAAATTTTGTTAATTTCCCTTGTGGGACATTTGTTATTAAGGGTTGCATACTACATTTTTTACCTTAAATCAGTAGATTTATTTATAATGAACACATTTATATGAAAGCTCTTTATATGGTAAATTATTATTAGGATTTAATGGCTTTAATGCTCCGGCCTGGCGTTCCTTCAAGAACATAGTTAAGGACAATTGATGTAGAACTAACATCAGCACGCTACTCATAGAACAACATCTGCACGGCAGCTCCAAATATAACACGTTCCAGAGGAATTGTTGAGGCCCTATGCTCCACTGGGAGTTAATGGAACAAAGAAGAAATGCGCAAAATTGCATATATGAGACAAATGGAAACTTAGTATGATCTATTTTTGAATTATTTATATTCCATTATATTTCAATTGTATATCTGCTTAATATCGATTAATGATTTCCGATTTGGAGTTTAATTTAATAACAAAATGTACTAACTGATACTAATGATGAAATAAACCTATATCTAAATTTTTTGAAATATTAATTAAAATTCACTAATATAATTGTAATTTATTGTATGCCCATGATCCTTCACGGATCACAGGCTGAAATCTTTTTAACTAACTCTTTAGAAGTGAGTTTAGTGGATTTAATTGTCGCACTGTGGCTTTCGATATTTTCCATCTAGAGAGAAAAAAGGTTGCTACTGATGTTACTATAGACTTAACTAATAATAATCTTAATTTATTGGATGACATTAACTTTTCACGGACCATAGGCTGAAATCTTTTTAACTATGTGGCTTTCGATACTTTACATCTAGAGAGAAAAAAAAGGATGCTATTGACGTTACTATACACTTAACTAATAATAATCTTAATTTATTGGATAACATTGATCTTTCACGGACCATAGACTGAAATCTTTTTAATTAACTCTTTAGAAGTGGGTTTAGTGGATTTAATTCTCACACTGTAGCTTTCGATACTTTCCATTTAAAGAGAAAAATGGTTGCTACTGACGTTACTATAGACGTAACTAATAATAATCTTAATTTATTGGATAACATTGATCCTTCAAGGACCATAGACTCAAATATTTTTAACTAATTTTTAACTAATTCAGAAATATTGCAATATAATAGTCTTTCCTGAAAGTTTTCAAGCATAACAGAAATTATGAAGCATACCTCGTATTACTCATAACCGCCACAAAGGTATTATTAAAATCATTTTATTGGCTAATTTCTGCATAGCGTACACTATAAAGCTTCATATTACTATAACACTAATTTATGTGCTGTGGTGCTGTGATACTCTTCGGAGGCACTGCATCTTGCGTTCACATGGTTTGGAAATATGTACCCGCCACATGAATATACAGAAGCTCTGTAGATAACATTGTGCGAAGTAAATATTTATGAATTTGTTAACATAATTCTGCAGCATGACATTAGGCGGATCATAACTCCAGAGCTGTGCATCATCAAAGGCATCAAAGGTAATTGAAACACCGAAGTAATGGCATTTTTAATGTGCTTGTGGTGTCAACAAAACGCATTTTACTGCTGTGATTTCTCCGAGGATTGAGTTTGTGTTTTTATGATTTTGTCAACTCTTTTACGTTGGCTCTCCACAGCTAAAAATGCTTGTTACTTTTATGATAATGTGTATAGATTTATGTTAATGCATAGATTTAAATATCAAAAAATAACAAAAAATATTCAGACAAATAAGTAAACTTTTAGACCAGAAAAAAATTTGTGAACAGCCCACATGCAAAGTATTTTTTGTGGGATTCCTTCAAATACTCATATATCGACACGTGTGATAATTTCAAATATTAAATATCACATGATTATGCAAATTTTGTAGCCTGATTGAAATGTGTTATTTTTATCTCACATATTACAACAAAACTGCCTGATACGAGTATCAAAAATATCAAATATCGCTTCCGAAGTAACAACCAAACTTCTGTGCAAACTAATTGAATTGTTCCCGGGAACAATACGCAGGATATCATACATTCATACAATATTTACTTGAACCTTTGATGTTATGTTGTTATTAGTGTAGATATCATTGTAATGAAAGCACAAAAAAATAAATATAAATAAAAGTAAATTTTAAAATAAGCATTCCAGTCTTCCATATCATTTTTTTATACCCATGTTAAAGTGGCAACAAAATATGTCTTATCCTTGCTGCAATTAAAGTGACTTATTGCAGCACAATAATATATAATATAAGGAATTTTTTAATTTTGGTAATAAGTAAGAATTAGGTTCTATATGTATGAGAGATACACAAGGGTAAATTAGGGTTGGGAGTTTATAGTATATTTAATTTTTTAAATTTTATGGATGCTAAAATAATTTTCGAAGATTTAATGTAGTTCTAATTCTAATAAAATAGTTCATAATCATAAACATTTTAATTTGGAAGGTTAGATCTCTACGGTGTTTAACACGTAGAGATAACACGTATTAATCCAAGGCTTTAATCAACGCCCCATTGGAAGTTCAAAGAATTTCCGTCGATATCAATAAAGAAATATGTGCAAGACATAACTTCGATCTTGGTTTGATGCGAGGCCTCCCTACAACCTCTGCTGATCTTTGGGTCATAACACCCGGTGGTGTATGCGCAACTCTACGCCGATTGAATGATAAACAAATGCCTGATCATTTTTCCCGCGTAAGTTTAGATATTAACCATAGCCACAACGAGTCTAACCTCAACTGGTCAGCACAACCGAAGCTGGGGATCACTGACCAGATTTACACTTCTGGTCAAGTGGCGCAAGTGGAGCACTTACTACGATGCACACTTCCTGCACAAGTGTCGGCCTAGCACCAGGATTTTGGTCGCCTCTTACGACAGGTACTAATACTAACGGAAATATTTGAATCGGTTGAAGAAATTAAAGGAAAGAAAGTGTGTCAAACAATATATTAAAGACATAGAATTAAAAAAAACCCACTAATTATAGGGCACAATAGATCACTTAGAACTATTTTCTTTTAGAAAATTTATATTATCAAAATTTTATTTTTCATATATTATAATAAATTTAAATAATTTAAATTTAAATAGAAATTTTTCAAAAATAATGATAATTTCATAGTAAAATTATTAATAATAGTTATATATAGATAACTATTATAACTCTATTATAATTCGATTATAACTCTATAGATATGAATAGAGATTTAATAATAACAATTATTATATATATTATATGTTATTATTATTGCTTAATTCGATTAGTAATCTGAAAATTGTTTTTTATGTTATTTTATTTTATTTTATTTCATTGCATTTTATTTTAGAAACATAAAAAAATTAAAAACTTATGAAATTGACAGACCTTTCAACTTTTTAGTCTATTTTAAATAGAGCAGTAAAAGTTTTTTTTTAAAATATTGCAGTTATGAATCTTTTAAGTGCCGTATTATACCATATAAAACAAGTAATATACTAAGAGCAAAGTCTGTTGGGTCCGACAATTTAACACAATATAATGAATAACTATTATCGTTTATATAGCACTATTTTAGATCCAGGTATAGAAATGAATTACAATTTTATTGTTTCTAGTAAGTGTTTGTAGGTGAAGATTATATACTATTGTTATTATTATATTGAAAACTTTAGCACTGCGATCAAGAGATCTATTGTGTCCAAAATCTAATGATATTATTATTATGTTGGTGGATATTTTAAGAATAATGCTAATTAAGCAACTATATCAATTCATTGCTCATTTAGTTATAATAACCTATAGATTGTTTCTTACCAGCGATCATTTAGTGAACTTACATTGGGGTACTACAAAAATTCTTAAAGAATTGTTGGCCAAATTACAAAGTCATCAGCAGTAATAATACTTGGGATCAAGAAAACCAGTCTATATTAAACAAATCTTTCAATTAGGATTTAGGATCTGAGACACC